CCCCACGGGCCAATTTCCTCCAGGACATAAATGATTTCCTTCAGTAACAACCTCCCTCAGAACACCATCCTTGCCATCATACATTTCACCTCCCTATACACCAACATCCCTCACCAGCCTCACTGCCTGCTTCAAATATTGACAAGACAATGAACACTACAAATCGCCACCTCAAACATCGCCCAACACCCATTTGATTCTTGCCCATAACAATTTTACATTCAACAATTGTCCAAACCATCGGAACAGTCATGGGTACTAGGATGGCTCCCCAATATGCCAACCACTTCATGGGCCACCTTGAGGAAGAATTTCTTGAAAATTGAAGAATTTCTTGAAAATTGTACCCCAAAACTGTTGATGTACGTAAGAGACATCAATGATATTTTTATCCTCTGGAAAGATGACCTAAACTCCCTGATAGATTTCCACCACAACTTCAATAACCACCACCACCATCCATCCATCCATCTCTAGAACACTCCCACACTAGCATCAACAATCCTGGACACCACAATCAGCTTCAACAAGGGAATCCTACAAACAATTATACACAAAAGCCACAGATCACCATGCTTACCTTCACACATCCACTAACCACCTCAAACACAATCTGTTTAGCTACAGCCTGGCACGCAGATAACACGGAATGTGCTCAGAAGAGAAAGTTTGGGATACACACCTTAATACAATTAAAACTGCCTTCACTAAACAAGGATACTCCCCCAGAGAAGTAGATTGTATCATGGAATGGGCCACACAAACCACCTGAGAGAAGCTACTTCAATGCAGAATCTCCCCTCCACCTGCACACCTCTGGTTGTCATCTACCACCCCACACTGGAACCCATACAGCCTACCAAACAATTACAACCCATACTCGATGAGAACCACACCCTCTTCTGGCCTTTAAACAACCTCCCAACCTTGCAAAACTCATCAGCAGAAGCAAACTCCATAGACCAGTACACATCAACTCAAAGTGGCACCAGACCCTGCCATAACGGATTCAAAACCGATAGACACAGCTCCACTGATGCAATGATCAATATCCCTCTCAATGCACCTTTCAAGTTCCATGGGTCCTACACATACCTATTACATCATGTGGTGTACCTCATCCAGTGCATTAAATGCCCCAGTAACAACTATGTGGGCGAAACAAGACAATTGTTATGCTTCTGAATGAACTCTCACAGAAAACAAACAAACAAAACCAAAAAAAACACACCATACCACCCATAGGCAAATGCTTTTCATAAAATGATCACTCCATATCTGATCTCTCAGACCTTGTCCTCAAAGGACACCTCAAAGGTGCACAATGCCTTCAAAAGATGAGCCTGGGGGCTTAAATTCATAACTTTGCTAAATGCTATAAGCCGTGGACTCAAAGACACTGGATTTATGGCTCATTACAACAATCTGTAACCCACTAATCCTCCTTTCTTCCATGACTGCAGAAGTCTTAACAGCCATTTCACCTTGAATGGTCTCTTGCAATATGTTACCTCCTTAAGTTTAATAATCTTTTCTACCTTGTATTTGGATGTGACACTCTGGCCATGTCTATACTACAAATTTTGGCTACCACATTACATCAGCCTAAAGCCACCAGAGTTAGTATATCACCTGTGCACATGTATGCTTGGCTTCTTGCACTGGCACTGTGTGTACTCACCAGGAATACTTGTGTCGATACACAGTTCAGTGCACCAGTGGTAGGTATCCCAGTGTGCAACTCACCATCGTCTAGCACACCGTCTTTTGGGAAGTTATGACAATGCGTGGTGGGGCAAAAACGAGTGATGCAGGGGTGACTGGGAGCCAGGAGGGGGTCAATGTCCCAGCATACAACTTTCTTCATCTCAAGGTCATATATATCCCATAATTTTTGCACCTTTTAAAAAAAAATCCCATGAACTCGCACAGCCCTCCTCGCTGTCCACCATCTTGGACAGAAGCATGAAGCCTGCTCAGCTCTGAACTATTGTCATGAGCGTTGCAAGCATTGGATGCATCATTCTCTGGTATTTGCAGAGCTGCAAGAAGGACTAAATCAGCAGGGAACATGAGGATTTCCTGGAGGACAGATTGCTGTCAAACATAGAATCAATTCAGAGTAGTTGTTGGTATTCACAGAGCAGCTGCAGATGGTGGAGTACTGCTTCTGGGTCTAAGGAGCATGCACCCACTGGTGGGATCACAGCGTAATGCAGACTTGGGATGATGAGCCAGGGTTGCAGAACTTTCAGATGTGCAAGGCCACATTCCTGGATCTGTGTGCGAAGCTCTCCCCTGCCCTCCGGCGCAGGGACACCAGAATGAGGGCTGTACTAACAATGGAGAAGTGAGACGCTGTTGTACTGTGGAGACATGTAACACTAGATTGCTACCGATTAGTGGAAAAATAATTTTGGAATTGGAAAATCCACTATGGAGGCCATTGTCATGCAAGTGTGCAGAGCCATTAATAGTCCCTGGCAATGCAGGACTGTGACTCTTGGCAACGTGCAAGACACAGAGGATGGATTTGCAGCAGTTAGGCTCCCTAAGTGTGGTGGAGCGATAGATGGCGCACACATCCCTATTTTAGCACCAGAATACCTTGCCACAGCATACATCAACAGAAATGGTTATTTTTCTATGGTTATGCAAGCACTGGTGGATCACCAGGGACACTTCATTGACCTCAGTGCTGGCTGTTCAGGGAAGGTGCATGACGCTCACATCTTTAAGAACACAGGACTGTTCAGAAAGCTACAAGCAGGGTCTTTCTTTCCCAACTGCCAGATTACCATTAGCAATGTTGATATGCCAACAGTGATCCTGGGGGACCTAATGCCCCTTGCCCCCCTTGCTCATGACACCAAATACCAGCCACCTTGACAGCTCCAAGGAACAATCCTACTGGCTCAGCAGGTGCAGAATGGCAGTTGAATGTGCTTTTGGTAGAGTGAAAGGAGGCTGGCATTGTTTACTCACAAGATTGGATCTCAGTGAAAAAAACATCCCAATAGTTATAGCTGTTTCCTGTGTCCTGCATAATATCTGTGAAGCAAAGGGAGGAAAAATTGGCGCAGAGACAGAGGTGGAGCAGCTGTGTGCTGAGTTTGAACAGCCAGACACAAAGGTTATTAGAAGAGCTCAACATGGAGATACGTGGCTCAGGGAGGCTTTGAAAGAGCACTTTAACAGTAAGCCACAGTAATGTGTTGTGGTGTACTGTGCTCTACCTGGTCCTACAGTTCTGGGAAGAATTGTGTGGTGCCTGGTGCATATGTATGAACAGAACACTGTCAATGCACCTATTTAATTTTGTGGTGCTTGCTGTACATTTGATTATTACACTGTTTTTGTCACTGAGCCTATGAGTTTTGTCACACTATACAAAACCAAGTAAGTGGGCGCTTTCAATCCCACTAGGCACTCTGCAGCATATGTTGGGAACTAATAATGAATTATTCCAAACAATACAATTTTACTGAGTAATGGAAACATTGCAGGTGCTATAATGGAGTTCTCCGTAGCCTGCAAAGGGAAGCAAGCCCCTGACTGTTGAACCTGTAGGTCCATAAGAGTCTGCAGCATCTGTGTTTGCTGCAATGGTGCCTACTGAAGTTTTATTGTCAACTGGCATGGGAAAGCGTCCTACTGTGGAAGAAGAAATGAGACTGCCATCCCTAGAAGCCTTCAGGAGAGGATTGTAGGGTACCACCACAAAAGTTACATCAAGCTCTCTCAGGAGGATGCTGGGGCCATTTCTCTGTACATAAACAAACTGCTCTGCACAGCTGTCCCCCTCCCACCTAACTACAGGGGTATGAAAAGCAGATTACTCATGCTAGAAGAGGTAGCGGTACAACAAGGAGAAGTAGAGTTAAGTAGTGAAAAGCTGTGTCCTGTTAAGTTGGAGGTGTCATCAGTACAATATTGTAATGGGAAATACATTTACACACTAACCCAAGGTTCCTTCCGCTTCTTGCCTGTGCTCGACTGACTGGACTGCAGTGGAGTCTCAAACAGATCCTGGCTCATGGCATAGTTCGATCCTTTCCTGGTTGCATGTCCCCCATCCTCATCCTCCTCCTTGCTGTTCGCAGCAGCAACGTCAGGCTCCTCAGAGGTATCCAGGGTGGTCTGCGGGGTGCTAGTGGGCTCTTCACCAAATATGGCGTGCAGCTTTTTGTAAAACTGGCAAGTCTGTGGCTTGGCACCAGATCAAGTGTTGGCCTCTCTGGTATGCTGACAGTATACGGTGTGTCTGGATCATGTAGCCAGAATGATCAGCTGGGCACTTCCACGCAATAGAGAGCTGCTAGGTGGGCTCATCAAACTGGACAATCAGGAAAAAGCACTTCAAAAATTCACAGGATTTTAAGGGGTGAGCAAAGGGCTTCCAGTCTCCATGACTGCTGGGCAATGGAGTTCACAACTGTGACCAGAGCAGTCACTGTTGAGCATTGTGAAACAGCTGCTGGAGGACAATTAAGATCAACATAGGTAATGCAGCGTCTACACTTCTGCAGCAGCGATCTCAATGCAACCACCATGACACAATGACACTCGGAGAGGTAGTGTTAATGTGTTGCCATGAGGGGGTGTTTTCAGCAATGGGAGA